ACATGCACAGCCAGAACAACCAGAATGGCGCTGGCTTTGAACAAATGGTCGCGGGGTCAAACGGGTCGAAACGCAAGGGCTCACCAGCAGACCATCCCAACGGCACCAAAAGGTCGCCAAACTCTCACGATGCTTCGCCTGGTCGGGCAGGTAGCTCTAGTGACCCGAATGGAGGTTCGCAGTCCAATGGTTACCTTGCTGGTGGGCCATCAGCGGGCACGAAGAGAATCAAGACTGCAAGAGCGTGTGATTCCTGTCGAAGGTGAGCGGCGTCACGAATGGCATCGTCTTGTGTACTCCTTGCTCTGACGCAGCTGCTCGCTCTGATGCTTGACTAATCAGGAAGAAGATTCGGTGCGACGTCATCGAGGACGACGCCGCCCCCCTAGGAGATCCTAACAATGGCAACGGAGGCTTGATATGCGCGCACTGTCGACAATACGGCTTTGGTGAGTGCCCAAGGAAGCAGTGCGATGTGGTTGGACGGGTGAGAGCTGCTGCTGACAAACGGCCGCACTCTGCAGAATGCACCTTTTTCCTGCCGATCACTGAGACGCGCTTCAAGAAGAAGCACGAGCGTGAAAGGGAGGAAGCAGCGCAAGCCCAGGCCCAAGCTGCTGCTGCCCACGCTGTCATGGCCCATCGAATGGCCGGATCTGCTGGCCTTCCGCCAGCAGGTCCAACGGCAGCATTCCCTCTGCACTCAGGGCCATTGCCTTCTGCCCCATTGTCCGGCCTCGCAGCGAGTCGATACGCCTCGTACGCGGCTGCGCAGCCAATGTCAGCATTAGATGCGACAGGACCTAGACATATCAGTGCGACCCAAGAATGGCCTCCTCGCAACCCTTCGAGCGCTTCTCTTGCAGAGGGTTCGAGCTCCCGATTAGCAGTCAGCCCCAAGTCGGCACCCACACACGCGTGAGTCGTGGCTTGACACCGTAATTGCAGCTCGCCATGCTGATGCATGCCTGTCCTGGACCGATTCTAGTCGACCTTCGGGTAGTGCATCCGAGAGCGGAAAGACGTCCCCGCCCCCACCAAATACCAGAGTGCTCGGTCCGACCAGTATTGCTTACATAGTGCACTCGACAGCCTTCGTGCCTGGTGCTGCGATCGAAGAACACGATTTAAAGCATCATCAAACTTTTGAAGTGGGTGCTTCTGGCGATGGAATCATCAAATTCCACAAACCTCCCCGGCGGCAGTCGCATCACGGCTCGATCTCATCAGAAGCAGATGACTCTGATGACCTTCTCGCTGTGCCTGACGCCTTGCGCTCCAGGCTTGCTGGCGATGTTGCCGAAAAGCTGGTCAACACGTACTTCGAGAGGATAGGATACCTATTTCCCGTCATCACCAAGAGCGAGTTCCTGAGTCAGACTCCGCCACCACCTTTGCTGCTCTATGCCATTTGCGGCATGGCAGCGTTGAGCCGGGAAACGCCTAGAGAGGTCTTAGGCGCAGTCAAGATGACTCTTGCTGCCTTTTTTAAGGAGAACGACCTGCTCAGCAATTCTAGCATCCACACAGTGAAGGCGCTGCTTATCATGAGTCTACACAGCGACCTGCATGGCTTGACTAACGTTTCTAGTGGAACCCGGTGCTGGAATAGGACAGGCATAGCGATTCGAATGGCCCAGGACCTCGGCATCCATCGCGATGCTTCTGGGCGCGACGATCTAGATGGCGATGCTTTCTTCCTAGAGCAAAAGCGACGGATTTGGGGTTGCTGCGTCACTGCGGACAGGTGCACCTCGATCTCTCTCGGGCACCCGCTTGCGATCGACCTTACAGATTGTGACGTTCGTCTGCCGTCACCGCTTGAAATTTTGCGCCACCCTTCGGACTTGCGCGCCAATCCAGCTTTAGAGCGTCCGTTCGCATTCAACACAGAGATGCTCAAGCTTAGCATCCTTTTCGGACGAACGCTCAAGACGATCTACAGCCCAACTGGTCTGATGAAGACCACCGACGAGGAAATTGTCAGTTTGCTTGCTGACATTGACAATTGGAAAGAGTCTCTGCCAGCTGAGCTGCAGTATGATGGACCCGACGCGCAAGCACCCGCTGGCATTTTGCACACCTGCTTCGCCTGTTTGCAGCACCTCTTCTTCCGCGTCTTCATGCGTATTTCGTACAGCTGCCCACAGCACCTCAGCTTCAGCTTGAACATTGAAAGAATGACGGCGATGATCAAGAACGCTCGGGAGGCCATCGAATGGGTGGATAGGAACGAATTCTATTTAGACACCCTTCATTTCCTAAGCTACTCGTTGGTGTTCTGCGCCACAATTCAGTACCATGCATGGATGCGACGAGGGGATCAGCAGGCTTTTGAGACTCTACGCAAGTGCAAGGAGTGCGTGACCCGTCACAAGCCGGAAGGCGCTCGCCACGACCTGTCGCTCCGCGCCAAGACTGGTGAAGTGGTCGCCTTGCTCTTCAAATCGGCAACCGGGGTGTACAATACGATTGATGGCAAACCGAGCTCAGGGGCTCTGAACCCCACTGCCGGTGTCACTAATCGTCGAACGACGGACACGGTTAGGGGCATTGTCTTCAAAGCAGATCAGTCTAAGCCAGGGGGAGGAGTGTACTTAGTCGCCGACAGAAAGCTGCTTCTCAATGATCTGCCGACCGGCACCATCCTGCTCCACGAGACTGCTGCTGGGCGCGTACCTGCACTGGTGCGGACCTCGGACGAAGCTAACGGCGGCTGGCAGGCATTTCCACGCCAGACTGCGGCTGCTCAAGATGGGAAGGCTAGTGCTTCACCACAAGGCCAGCCTTCAAGCGATCTGACTCACATTGCCGGAACTGTGTTCCAAGACGCCGAGGGTATCCCAGTCGATAGACGCGGCTCACGCATGATCACAATGATACCAGTAGGTCAGCCTGGCATGCCACAGCAGCATCAGCTTCAACTTCTCCAAGCTGCTCAGCAGGCAGCGCTTCAGCAGCAACAGTCTGGCTCTACTGCGCCGAACCCGCCTCCGGACAACTCTGCGCCCGCTGGCTGGCAGTCCGACGCTGGTCTCAATGCGGACAATGGCAACCCGCTCTTGCAGCACCGTCCATCGCTCAGCGCTGGCAATCTCGGCAATGTCAATCCGCATCTGAACGACGCGTCCTGGGCATCGACTCTGGCCAGCTTGGGCTTTCCCGCCGATGCATACACCTTCGATGGCCAGAACATGTTTCCGCTTGGCAACGCGACCAGCGCAGACGCCTCCGCCGGTTTTGAGCCGCTGGTCATCGACGGCTTCCCGGATGGCTTGGATGTTTGGGGTGCGTGGGCACAACAGCTCAGCCGCGCCAATGGCATGGGAGCGCTCGACGCGTCCACCCCTGGCGGTGGGTTCTCAAACTCCAACGGTGCTCAGCACTCAGGTGACAGTGGATACAGCGCTTCAATTCCTGCTCCTCCCACACTCGGTAGCCTAGCAAACGGCGGTTTCTGAAGGCGGCATCGGCCGCCCAGTCCCACCATTTCTTGTCTTGTCGCCGTCAATTCTCAACCTCGATTTGGCTTTCCGTGACCTCGCACGCAGCTGTCACCTTCGCGCGCCGGTTGCGTCTTCATCTGAACTGCGCGTCATTCTGTCCGTGCATTCTTGCTGGTCAAGAAGGATCGCTTTTTGTGCACAACATTTTCAATCACCTGTAGCATGTACCTCGGCGCGACTGTGCTCGAAAGCTTCCTCCCATCGAAAAGCGGCTCGAGATCGTCACCTTTCACATCACCAAAACGATCAGGAATGAAAGTATTGCGTTTTTGATCTGGCTCGTCTGTGCGTTGCAACCGGTCGTTCACTTCGTGTATGCGTCACGTGTATGCGTCTATTGATGGAAAGCAGTCATGATGTGGATCGTGCCTCGAAAGTGCGCGCATTGTCAGAACAGTGGAGTGCAGAAGAGGGCGCAATCTGTGGCGAAGCGCAACGAGCGTCCGCTGAGTTCCGCACAATTGGGATGCCCAAAGCGCTAGATTTGCTTCCTTTCTCTGGCATTAAAGGCACCAAGACCTTCACGACGGCGCGCCGCGATAGAGGTGAAGAGGCTGCCATCGATGATGCCATGGACGTCATCCTTCTTGACGATTCCGTCAGAAGGCCACAGGAGGAGGTAAGTGCTGCCCCATTCAAAGGCCATGGCGAACCAGCCGAAAGGATCCATGAGATTTCTTTGGGTGGTGATCATCACGATCAAGTCGTTGAAAGACAAGCCGTCCTTGTTTGGGGCGGTCGAGTAGAGATCAAAAATGTCGTCGAATCTTTGCCTCTGCAATTCGCCCTTGCGGTTGTAGGACTCGCTATCCGAACCGTGCTTGTTGCGGTGAATGTTTGCGATCCAGATGCGAAAGAAGGGATCTGGAAGGTAGTCTGTCCACCTTGCCCCGGTGTAGGGAATTGTTGGGTACGAAAATGGCCCGTGAATGATGCCGACGGCTAGGAGGGAGAGGATCAGTCCGAAACCGAGTGCGTAAAAGCCGCTGATTTGAAGGAGCGCGAGAGGATAGGCAACTAGGGCTCAGCGAGTGTGCTGAGGCCAGAATGGCTAGCGAAGAAGCTTGAAAAGGCCGGCTATGGCAGTTACGGTGGGGCCACTCACAAGAAGGTATCGGTAGGCCAGATAATGCCATCCGCGTCCCCATCAAAGTACACGCAATGCTTTTGGAGAGCAGTCAAACCGTTTGTCTCTCTCAAGAAACGCTCCCTATCAGCAACTGCGCCCGAGTAAGTGCTCGCCTTTGTGTACGGCGGCTTGTCTGAGCCTCCCAGCCACTTTACATTGCTGTTGTTGAAGAATTGATCCTCGTCCAGCTTGCGTTTGGAACTTGCGAGTGGCACGCTCTCCACTGTCTTGGGGGCTGAGGATGTCTGGATGGGCGTCATGACGTTGAGTACTTGGACAGAGATTGGTCGACTGATGCGGAGAGTGATTTGGATCTAAAGACGAGGTGAGGTCACTTATAGGTAGTGTAGCGACAAGATAAGCAAGCACGGGACATATGCGCAATTGAATCGATGAGACGACATGGACGATCCTGGATGCTGGTGGCCCACGGCACCGACCATGACGCAATGCTTGGCTATCACCAGCTCTCCTCATGGCCAGCCCCGTTATTACGAGTGCTCAAGGACTGTGTACCGGTATATGGACTCTTCGGC